AGCCCACAAACGTTTCAGTGCACCAGAAGCTTTGCTTGCAAAGAACTTGCCAGAGTCTTGAAGATCGCTTAGGAGCCTCCAAAAGGCCCTTCCAGGATCCACGATCACAGTTTTTCGTTCCTTCGAGATCCTTTCACTGGCAGCCGCATGAAACCCCCCAAGCCTGCAAGATACGCAGCATTGATTTCCGCTCTTGAGCAACCAAACGTGGCGGAAGACTAGAGAGACCTGCGGGACATGGTACTTCCGGCGAAAGCCTGGCTGCTAGAGCATCCATCAATATGTACCCATCCATCATCCCCAGTTTGGACATAGGCATATATCGCCATACATATCTGATGAAGGAACAAGGGGCAAACTAGTAGCTAGTGGCAGCTAGTGGTCAGTGTGAGAGTAATACACACACAAACACACTTACCTCTATCTTAGGTCGGCGTGACCTGGCCTTAGTCGGGTGGAAGATGCTATGCCGAGGTGTTGCGAGCCCTTGCGATTGTGCCGATGGCTTCAAGTGCTGCAACACATCGACCTCGAAAGGTGTCAAAAATCGCGAGGCTCGGACAGAGGAGTCAGGGTTAAAGGTTTACTGTCAAGCCGCCTATGGTTTAGAGTCAGAGACACTGGATTGCTAACTGTACAAGACTCTCAATTATCTATCGACGTGGCTACGCTTGGGCCGATTTTTGCCCAGCGCGGCTGCTTGGGTTGCTCCTTGGAATCTAGTCGTAGCCCAGCTCCCAAACTCCAAACCAGCTACTTAAACTTTGTACAGTCTAGAGCACCCCCCACCTTCAAGCTCGGAAGGCCTCGGCCCCTTGTAGATCTCAAGCCTGAAGCCTCAAAGCCCTTCATAATTCCCATATACCCCTCTAACTTTGCCACTTGAAAGAAAAGGAAGACCCCCGCGCGCCCTTATCTCCAAGAGGATGCCGAGCACTGCTGCTGCCCCGCCTCCGACGAACTGCTCTTTGCCTCGGCGGCCGCGGTGTGCGTGGAGGCCTGCCAAGCGGGCCTTCGGGGTGATCGAGATCCACCGCTCCTCTGGAAACTTGCCATCTACCCCGGGCAAGATGCGATGGTCCATGATGATGAAGATGCGGAGGTGTATGATGAGAAGGAGGAAGAAGGGGCGAGGACGAAGAGCCAATGGATGTGGAGGAGGAGGGCGGAGAAGCACTGGCACAAGTTTCATGAGGAGTGTGGCAATGATCACGTAGACGATGATGTTGACGACTTCGACGATGACAACGATGATTGTGGTGTAGGTTTCGGCAGGGATGATGATGGTGATGACGATCATGATGCCCCTGGGCTTTCGGCCGATGGCTTTCTTCTCGTCGCTGCAGCTTCTGAGTATCGGCCTGTTCTTGTCCTTGCTACGAGCAGCAAAGCCTCCCGAGGCAAAGAAATGCCAGTACACCTGCTGCGAAGCCGGCATGAAGCTCTGCGGGAGCGATTGCTGTGATGCCCGGCGGCCCAGAAGTGCTAGGTGTTCAGATGTTCTGGCTCCGTGGTCCAGGAACTGCGGCGGCTTGCGTCCCGAAGCGTCCCGATTCCTCCGAGCTGTCTACCCTTGTCCAGCAAGGCTTCTGCCAAGTGTGGGGAAGGAAAGTGTGGCGCGAGCACCACGACGACGCCGTCCTCAGGTGCCACCTGTCATAGCAGATCAAAGGCTAGACTCTAGACGGGATAAAATGCGAGTGCTTCGCAAAACGAAGAAAGACTTAGGCCCCCTGCAGTCTGAGCCCGCAAGCAGGCTGTTCGCAAAGATCCTGGTGGGAAATCGTGCCTGCCGGGAACTCGGTGCAGAATGACGGAAGCCGCTACAGTATCAGAACCCCCCCCCCCCCCCGCAGTGAAAGATTGTGTGGCCACGTGAGACCCACAGCTTGGGTCATGCTTCCAGTTTCGTCGTACCGCACTGTCCAAGACGTGCTTCGCACGCGCACATGCGCCTCAGCCTCCGGGTAATGTCTCCGACTACCGACATCTTCTAGAATGCCCCCTTACAAACATCTTACTCGGTCGGTGCTGACGGGACCTTTTCGTTGGAACCTGCTTTCGAAAATCAACATCTTACGACCCCCTTTCAAGCCCGCAGAGCAACCTTGCAGCAACGTTCGGCTTAGGGGGAGAAAGTCTGGTCGTTCCTCCTCGAGTTTATGGCGGTCCCAGGCCGGGTTATCTACCTTGCTGGGTGCTTTGGGGGTTTGGGTTTAGCGGTGTGGGGGTTTAGGGTTCGAGGTTTTAGGGCTTTGGAGCGCTTGCTTTGGGTGGTTTGCAATGACTCCATGAAAAGTTCCAAGAGTAGCTATGACCTCTCAGTAAAGCTTGCTTTTTGGCCCCCTGAACGGGCCATCTCTCAGCCGAAGCCCTGAACCAGCTGCTTTCTGTGGCGCGGGCGCTTTCTGCAGCAGCTACTTCCTGCGAAGACGAGCCCGGCTCGCTCTGACGACGCCCAGGTGACTTAGCTTGCAAGAGATGGGGATGCAGTGTCGGCCTATTTCTCCCGGGACTCGCAGCCCCGGTGCTTCGGGTTTGGCAGACAAAGATGAAGAATGTAGTGTGACCTCTTGATAGCGGCCTCTTCCCCTTGCCCAGGCACGGCTTCCAATTATGAGAGTATGGAATCTGATTGTAAGCTGGGTGTGGCGAGGCAACAGCGGCTCGATATTTAATGTGTCAATATGCTCCCCAGCTCGAAGCACAGTCTAGCAGTTCCGATCGATGTCTGAAGGACGATGGGGTCGAACCAGCCCAGCAAGCATTCAGCCATTTATGAGCAGACATCTAAAGCAACAGGGTTCTGCAGCAGGACGGACCAGGGAGGAGAGCAGGCCTGAATCGAAGCTTAGTGAGGACGGCAACCGCTTTAAACCATTTACTGGTGATGTTTTTGACCGGTTTTGTGATCAGAACATTAGCCTCGAATCAATCTGGTCTTACGCTGGAGGAGACGCTTTAGTGTTTAGATGGCCCGATCCTGTTCAACAAGATATCCTCACCTTGGTGGACGGACGAGCCGCTCCTCGAATGGAAGTGCTTCTATTCAGAGAGGCCTGGCGCCTAGAGAAGACAATCCGGAACCCCGAGGTTGACATACCGACACCTGAAAAATCAGTCAGTTGTCTCCCCCTGAAGTCCCTCTAGAGCTGTCAAAGGCTATAGCCCAAAATCTGCTAGTGATTATCAAGAACCCTACATCACGCCAGAGCCCTGAATCCCAGGCCGCTCCGCCGTCTGGGGGATGAAGAGAGCAGCCGGGACGGCTTTAGTTAGAAGGGGCTCGCGGTAAAGCTTTTGGTGTTTCAAGCTTAGGGTCCAGCTCCATTCTCCTGGCACCTCCCGGCAATGCCTCGAGACCACGCAAGGTTGCCAAGCCCAGACCTTAAACCTCGGCCGACTTGCGTCGCAGCTGAACTATACCAGACAGGCAAGAACTCGTTGGACATGCTCGTGCCATCTCTCTGTTACTCTTAGTAGTCTTCTCGTCCGTGTGAAACAGTGAAGATCGCCGGTTTCGTGTCTCGGGCTCAGTTTCAACAACCTAGTTCTACCCTGTGCCTTGAGCTGGAAGCCCCATGGATGCTCGCACATGCGTGGCCAAGGTAGTTACAGCCGATCCGACATCTAGCCTGCCAGAAGGTGGGTGGCCCAGAGGTCTGGAAGTCGTCGCAAAGAGTCGTTGTAACGATATTGACAGCAGGATTGGCAGGAAGGAACAGTAACACTAGCAAGTACGGCATGTGAAGGCATCAAGCCCTGGCTTGCAGGCGTGGTCGAGATCCGATTGGCTGGTCGGGGTGCGCGGGCAGTACAGCGCTCCGCCGGTTCATCCCCGGCCGTGGATGAAGGGGTAGATGTCTGTGCCGAAGCACTGTCAGGTTCTACAGTTCTTTCCCCAATTGGTGTCTGGGTCTTTGTCTCCCAAGCCTTAGAGCCTGGTGCACACGGGTGTTTTGCAACCCAGCATTGCATTAGATGCTACCCATCTAATTCTTCCCCCTGGTTCTGCGGCTCGAAAACTAATTTTGATCTGAACCCGGGTCTCGGATATTTCCTATTCGGCAACCGACTCAGCAACCTGAAATGCTCGACCCTTGCCATCTTGTTGTGTTTTCTGTTGATTGAAGTCGGAACCAGAGGGCCATAAATGTCTCCGAGCGGGGGCAGTCATGTACAAAGTGTTTGTATGGCGGTTGTCCTTTGGCAGGGCACACTCCTACAGCCCTGACATTCAGCCTCAGCCTAAACCCTGAGCCATAAACCCTAAGCCTGGACCGTAACATCAAAAGCCGCTCAACTACGCTCTGGAGCCAGACATCAGGCCCTGCCCGGATCTTACCCGACGGAGCCACAGATCCTGAGCAAGACTAGTGACTAGTTAGAGGCTGTCAGAGGTGTTTACGGAGCTTATCAGAGAACAAGAATTCGACAGTTTTGAGGCGTGTGGTCACCGCATTTGTATGGCTTTGAGATGTCAGGGCTTGTAGGGCTGGCCACTCCGGGCGCCGTGATGCGTCTGACAACTCGTTGGCGAATGTGTGTGTCGCCAATGCCGCGGCAGGGTAGAAACGCATCAATCAGCGGAAAAAGTCTAAGTGGCCAGTGTGAGCATCCTCTGCAACCTATTCCCCGGCACCACCATTTCTCTTCTTGCGAGCAATTGCAAGACTCAGCGTTTTCCTTCCCTCACCTATGGGCCCAAAGTCCATAAGGCCTCCACGAGTATGCCGAAATAGGGGATCTATCCTTCCCCTTTCACAAAAGCCCCTGAAGAAGAGCTCGGAGTTGGGGGTCGAAGGGCTGGGCTGAACAACTGTCGAGACGAGCTGCTATGGGTTTTGGGAGTTTGAAAGTTGAGTGCGTATCAGGGGAGATCGATCTTGCGAAGACATGCTTCGCGACTCTTCTTGGATGCGTAAAAAGGCTCCGGGATGGGACCCCCCTCTCAGCCATGAAGACCATCTGAAAAGTTATCAACCTTATTCCCGTGCAAAATGCTGGCAGCCTGGGATAAGTAAACCCTTTACACTTTACGCCACGAAGCCCGTCCCGACCCTGAACTCTAGCCCTGAACCCCAACCGCCTCAACTTAACCCCAAGATGCCAGGACCGCGCCATTGCTTTCCTGGCACAAAAGATGCCAGAGGTCCGCTCCCTCAATCCGGGTGTCGACTTCGATTTCTCTGCTGGAGGAATCGTTGGTGTTGGGGTCAGAGGAGAGGAGTCGGGAAATCCAGGTTTCATGCCCCTTGGCAGCATCTAAGCCCAAACAAACTCCAAACAAACCCCAGACTCTAAAGCCTAAGTCCTATCACGCAGGGCATTGATGCCGTCACAGACTGTGGTCTGCCGGCTCTGGGCATCGCATGCATCAGGCTCATGTAAGGGTTGGGGTGTCTGCTTTGGGGTTTCGCTCCCCAGGATGTTCTCAGAGGGATTCTAATTAAGAGGGACTCTATTCGTCCATCAGTTTTTTTGTTGGAGTTTTTAGCTTTATATCCTAAAGCCTCCAGCGACTTGAGGTACCCGCACAGTCCAAGTATGCCAAACCTCCAAACCCCACGCCTGGTCATGTAGTCAATGGTAGCAGAGAAGGTAGCAGGATTTACGTCCACAGTACACCCCGAAAACCTGTAGAATATGCGCCGATGCCTCAATTGGTTAGTCTAGTAGCGACTAGTATGGCAATGAGCATGCTGACGGCAATGATCACTCTAAACCGACCTGGTTGCTGCTGGATAACCCGGATAATTACGATCACTGTTGCCAAAAAACTACATCACTTCTATCATTGTGTTGTCGTTGTCGTTGTGATCGTTGTCGTGATCGTCGTCGTCGTGGTGGTGGTGGTGGTGGTTGTTGTTGTTGTTGCTGCTGCTGCATTTCTTGATGCTGAAAGCACCTGTCCAGTTGTTGATGATTTTTTTGAAGTACCGAGCACTTCTCCTTTGCAGGGGCTACGTCGATTGTGCCAGGCCAGCATCGGGCTGCTCGGGTTGTGAGGTGCGCAATTGAGGGAGCTAGCCTTTGACCCGAAGCCCTGATCCCCAGAACCCAAAGTGCTAAATTGCCTGGACTCTTTCATCCGAGCTGGCTTTCTTAAACCTGTCCGTAGTCTTTCGGAACGTATGGTAGCACTATCCACGGAACGTAGTACATCTTTGGTGTGGCTGAACGCGGTCTAGTAGTCGACATCTCTACTTCATTGATGATGGTCTTTCGGTGTCATTCTAGCATGCATCATCCAGAGACAGTGAGTCGAATAGAGAGGTTGGGTTTCAGCTCTACGCTGCGTAGTTGAGGAGGGAGCCTCGGAGGGAATGCGTTTCTTGTTCGCCTTTGAAAGCAGGGGTTGTCAGAGAGAGTCAGGGGCAGGAGTGATCGAAGGGGAGTTTGAGAGATGGCCTAAGTTCCCCCCCAGGCCCCAGGCTCACCGTCGCAAGACAGGCAGCATCTTCCTATGGACTGTGCAGTGTCTCGATTTCGCAGACAAGTTGGACTGAGATTTCGATACAGACTGGCGTCCCGGTTGAGGCGTGTCAACACTTGATGATGACAGCCAAGCGGTTTACCTTAAAGCTCTTCTACGCTTAAATCCAAGGTCCACCTACGCCTCCGCACCCTTAAGATCTTAAACTCTCAAAAATCCGAAACCGAAAAGCCCCTAAGAAAGCCTGGGACCCCAAACTCTCCGCACTTTCATCGAGGACTTTGATCCAGTGCAGCGCCTCCCCAGAGCAGCTTGATGCCCGGGGTAACGGCCCCTTGCACTGGGCAGCGGCGAGGGGCCCAAGAAAGATATCACGTCGTAGGGGGGTACGACGGCTGCGGCTGCTGCTGCTGCTGCTGCTGCTGCTGCTGCTGCGCTACTGCTGCTGCTCCTGCCTCTGCGGGTTCAGCGGCGACTGCTACTGCGACTGCCACTCCCACTGCTACTTCCATACTGGTATAATTCTCGTGCCACTGCTACTCCTACGGCTGCTGCGGCTGTGGCTGCCGCTACTGCTACTGCTTCTACTCCACACACTGAAAGCAACGACAGCCGCAGCAACAGCGACAGCGACGGCGACGGCGACATCGTCATCGTCATCACCACCACCATCGTCATCGTCGTGGTCATCGTGATCGTGATCGTCATCATCATCATCATCATCATCATCGCCGTCATCATCATCACATCATCATCATCATCATCATCATCATCGCCGTCTTCATCATCATCATCATCATCATCACCATCATCATCACCACCATCATCATCATCATGCTGTTCATCGTCATCATGATGATCATGGTCATTGTCATCGTCATCGTCATCATCATCATCATCATCACAGTCGTCACCGCTATCCTCATCACTAGCACCACTACCACCAGCGCCAATCACTGCCATCAAGCCTCACAACCACTCAGCCAACAAGATCATCACCACTACGACTACCACCACCGCCACCAGCTGAACATCGCAATCATCTTCGTCCAGTCGTCCTCAATCTTGAACTTAGTTCTCCAATACCTAACCTTTAAAACTTTTGGGGTTCTTATAACTTAGTAGTAACCTGAAAATTTAGCCTTGTATGTCCCTGGCTTGTTGGGGAAGTAAATGCATGCCCTCACCATCAGAAGTATCTTATGCAGCAACATCATCCGGTTTTCCGTCCTTGCCGAGGCATCCCTTGGAGTATAGTGCTTAACTTATGGGTGTGAATTGTGCCGGCTTTTCAGACATTCGGCTGCATTCCCCGCTATTCCCTTGAGCAATTTGAAGATCAAGAAGTGAAGGTATATACAAGCCTCGATTTGCAGCTTTCCAGTGTTTTGCTGTTTTCCGAGGCGAGCTATGCTGATAAAAGCGCGAACGATCTGGCCGAGATGCTTCTGGAGGCATAATCTTGAAGGTTAATCCCAAGGCCCCACGCCATCCACGGCTGACGCAGGCGGGTGCAGACCCCTTTGCTTGCAACGGGTCCGGCCAGCTGCCCGACATCCCGAACCTGCAGGACACAGGGATCGAATGCAAGGGCGTTCCGTTGGCACCATGAGTGTCAAACCTCAAAACCCACAAGGCCTAAATCTTGCTGTTCTGAACGCTCCACTCTAAGCCAATGTGCACTGCACAGTCAATCAGTATCATTGGCATCCTCGCGCGCATAAGCACTATCATCATGATCATTGCTGCCAGAATCGTGATCAGCATTCATTGTCCTTGTCGTTGCGACAGGCACTTCACCATCACCACTATGACCGCCATAGACCCAACACCGAAGCAGAAAACTCCTATGGCCTGAAGCGCCGAAGCCGTACAGCCCCGAAAACCCTTAAGCAGTTTCGAATAGCCGAAGGACATGGCGCTAGCACAGGCTGCTGCCCACCGCCAGCAGGCAACTCTGTGATGAGCTGGTTGCAGCGTCGGGTTAGCAGATTGTTTCCGTTTGTGCAGTGGCTCCGCTCGGATGATCTGCTGCATCGCTTGTGCTGCGATCATGAGTTCATCTCAGTCGCATTTTTGTAGCACCCTCAGCCGAGAGTGTTCGGAAAGGCGTTGTCCTGCTCCCGATTCGCGATTAATTTAAACCACACCTCTCTCGATCAGCTGCCATGGATGCCGTCTTGAAGGTCACCTACCAGTCCGAGGTGCGTCGATGCCTCCTTTCGAGCATCCGGCCCAGCTTTGAAGAGATCACAGAGAGCATTGCGAAGCTCTTCCCCGAAGCCAAAGAATGCACTGCCCGGCACCTTGGAAATCGATAGGATGTAGATAGTCTCGTCTGTTGGAAGCTTTTTGCTGCAAATAGTTGGGAGCGAAGAGAGGGCAGCCCCCAAAAGACGGCCCAGGTACCTCGACGAGGAAAGGGACCCGTGCACGCTCTGCGAGGCTTCGCTGTCAGACTTCCTGGCTCAGGCAGCCAAGGGCGTGGACATGGCCAACAGCACCGGCAAGATGGTGCTCCGCCTGGAGCTCGTGAGCCTTCCCCAAGCGGCCCAAGCACCCGCGCTTCCGGAGGCCCTGCCACCCAAGGAGGCGCCCGAGGCAAGCAGTGCACCCAAGGACGTCCCTCTTGAGGGCAGTGAGACGTTCCCGGCAAGCGACTCGCCTTCCGATGTCGTGCAGGTGCCCGAGCATAGCAAGGATCCGAAGGAGATGCCAGGCTGGAACATCGTTGACGTCCCAGAGGCGAACGAGGATGACGGCATGCCAGCACAGACCAGCAACAGCGAGCCCACCGTAAAAGTGCGCGACTCCATGTCAACGCCCGTTCAGTACAGCCAGGTTACACAAGAAGCCTTCGAAGGCAGCCAGAATGACAGCGCGCCCAAGCCCACGTGCGAGGCAAGCAACTCTGCCACACCTTTGCCTTCCAACAGCGGCGAAGCCCTCAACGGCGAGCAAGCTTCTTGCAGCAAGGGCAAAGGCTACAAGGGCAAAGGCTACAAGGGCAAAGGCAAGGGCAAAGGCATGCTTGGATGGAAAGGGCATTGGTGCGGCCATGAGTCCCAGCAGGAGAAGTGCAGGGCCCCACTTTTGAATGAAGTCATGATAAGTACAGTAGTCTGAGTAGTTCCGAATGGTATCATGTTATAGTCATATAGTCCCTATAGTAGTGATACGATACTGTACAACGAAACCAAGGTCCCTAATTAAGGTTCTGCCGGTTTTTCCAGAAGTCGGAGTCTCAGCTGAGCAACAGAGCCGACACCCAGAAACCCCAGCACTACTTGCAGATCTAGCCTTCACTGTATCAGCACAGGAGCATCCTTGGCAAAGCTGGTGGAAGTGGCATCTTGGATGGTGCGAGCCCGAAGACGCCGACATGAGCCATCATGGCGGCGAGGCATGTGAGGATCCACCCGAGGACGCTCGCCTCTGCGGCAAGAGTGAAGGCTGCAAGGGCAAGGGCAAATTCAAGGGCAAGGCCGGCAAATGCGGCGGCAAGGGCAAGTTGTGGTGGCAAGGCTACTGCCCGGACGAGGAGCAGGAGCACTAGTGGCGGCAGAACGGGGTGATGTGAAGCCTCCCGCTAGAGTGATATGATAGTGTGATCAGTACGGAGTCTTGCACATCCCCCCCGCCAAGCCTCTATTTGTGGTCCGCGAAGTCATCTTGAGTCTCAGCTCCCACGCGAAGCGCGGATTGAGCTTTGCTTCTGTCCTGGCAGGAGCAACCTTGGTGGCTGCAGTGGCACGGTTTCCCCCAGTGGCACCAGACGGACGCTCCGGAATGGGTAGCCCCATCTCCGCAGGCACCTGCGTAGCAGCACACTTCATGGCTGAAGACCGACGGCCCCCGGATTCCGAGCTCTATATCAAACCCCCTTTCAGTGTCCCGCGAAGTACAATCCTCGTTATCTCGAGCGCCGGAAAGGGGCCACAATGACTTAGTTGTTTCCGCAATCAGGTGCTCGCCGAGCAGTTTCTTCAGGCACTGCCCCACTTGACAGCCAAGGTCTGTGAGGAAGAGGCTGCAGGGGTTGTGGGAGTTCAGCGGTTCAGGGTGTAAAGGTTTCAGGCTTAAGCAAGGTCCTGGCTGTCCGGAACCTTCGGACCAGCCCACTGTAAGAAGAAGACCGAATAGGAAGTGCAAGTGCAGGGCTGATGGTTTGAGCATGCAAGCAGGCCATGACCTGGTAGGACTTTACGGTTTTTGCTTCAGGATGAGGTGCATTGAAGGTTCCCTTTACGGATTACTGTTTCTCAGCCACGGTCCTGTAGTTGATTATGCAGCCAGATGACAGGCCTCAACTGCCAAAGCCCAATGTGAATGAAGCCCTCAGCCCGAAAAAGTTCCGCGCACAGGTCCTGGAGGCCTGGAGTCAGCGCCTGTGCGCATCCTTGTGCCCCGGCATGTAAAGCTGACTTGGGTACTTCGGATGGTGCAGGTTTGCAACCGTTGACTGTCCCATCCCTGTGGTGAGCAAAACTTTGCGGCCATAGGCCCTGTGTCGACTCAACCAACTTTACCGGGTGCCATGGTCTAACTGCGGAACTCCTGGTTGCATTGCCCTTTTGTTTGGGCACCTGGGGCTCCAGCCTTGACGCGGTCGCCAGTCTTTTTCCAACGTTCATTCTTGGGCACCAAACGTTCATTCTTGGACCACAACATACCGCCATCCCGCAGCCTTCAACTCTCATGACAGCCTTCGACACCGCATACCACAGCCGGACATCCTGGCTTACCCTGGTAGCTATGGGGCCAGGCGCCGCACCAGAACCCATTGCTCCGCAACTTCTGCGTCCCTAAACTCGAATCTCTAAGCCACCTAAACCCCTACATGCTAAACCTTCTGTGTGATTAAGGGACTCTTGGCCCGCAGCAGGAGACGCACTGCAGGAGCTTTGCAAATTATTAGGTGGGAAAGAACCTTTTTGCAGGGGTGGCTTATAGATAGAGAGGGGTCATGAATTCAGAAACAGAAGGACAGATGAAAGCATGATACGTAGATAGACAGAGAGACAGACTCTCTTGAAGAGGCAAACACAGCTGGGCTGAATCTATACACGTGAGTCCATGGAGTACTCTGGTGTAGCAATAAGGACGTGCACACATAGGTAAAGTTGTATGCGGAGAAAAGTCTGTTTGTAGCTCATGACTTTAAAGTTGCCCAAATCCCAAGCCCTTCGCCTTCGGAGCCTCAACCCCGAAGGGCCCTGGACTCTCAACCCTGCACTGGAAGGAGCTTTGGTCCATCCTCGGCCAACACAAACTACAGAGCCTTGGCAGCAGGGGCAGCCGCACTCGCTGGGGGCGATACTGGAATCTTGCATACAGTTTAGTTTACTGCGGTTTAGCTCGGTTGACTTGATGTAGTATTGGGTGCCATAGAATGTAACATGACATGTGCAGAGAGATGTCGTGCAGAGCATGCGGGAAACAGTCCAAGCCCAGAGCCCTGCATCGCTGAACCGGACGCCCTCAACCGGTCGGTCTAATCACTTAGGGTTCCAAGGTTATGGCTCTTGGGTAGTTAGATTGGTTTGGTGTCAGTAGGGGTTTGATGATTGATGTTTGCTGTGCAGCCATGCACGTACTTAAACCCATACTAAACACCCGATAAAACCGTGCAAGACTCTGAAGCCATAACTCCTAAGTCCTAAGCTCAACACCCAAAGCCTTCAACTCCTAATCCTCAACCCTTCAACGCTAAGCCCAGTTTAAGAGACCTCAGGGCTGAGCAGCAGCTGGCACGTTTCCTAGAGGAGGCTCCTGAGCCTTCTCTGGAGCTTTCCTCGGGGTTTACTCTAGGGTTTGCGGCGTGGTGTTCGGAGTTTGGGGTTTGGAGTTTGGGATACATTGGTTGTCGAATGCGTGCGTGTTTGATGGTCTAGGGAACTTTGCCACTGATGCAGTTCTGTTGTCCAGCCAGTTGCCCTGAAACTGTCGATGAATCAGCCGCTACATTGAATCTGTGAGAGTTCAGGGTTCATTGGGAGCGCTTGTGGGATTGTTGAGGGGACTTAACAGTACATAGACCCTAAACCCCGAACCGTCCCTCATGGAGAGGTGACGCAGGAGAGTGCCAGCCAGTTCCTGCTGGCCTTTTTAAGCGAGCTGGAGGTCCGGGCTTCGTGGTGAAAGAGTCTTTGGGTCTTGCCGTGGGATGTGGCACGCAAGACGTTTGAGTGGTCCTTCTCCTGGTTGTATGAGTGTATCTCAGCTCTTCGCGTTCTAGGGGCTCGTTGCCTTTAGTCTGCTTCTTGCGAGCTTGGAGGGAATTTTGAGCATCTGTTCTTGATTCGATGCGGTGGAGGCTCTAGACGAAGAGCAGAAGCTGAGCGTGATGGCCGGCTTCTTCGAGTCTCAAGAGGAGCGGCTGCAGAAGATCTTTCCGCAGCTGCCGGGCTTTTTCTTGCTGGGCATGCTCGGGCGTGGCAAGGGTGGGAAGTGGGGAAAGGGGGCAAAGGGGAAGGCCAAGGGCAAATGCTGGCTCGGTTCTCACATGGCAAGGGATGCAGATGAGACAGTGCCCATGAGCACCACCGATGACCAGCATAGCCAGCCGGCGCATGACCCTTCCTGGAACAGCTTCCTCAACTTGCCCAAAGATCCAAACTACGTGCCTTACGTAGCTCGAAAGGGCAAATCTTCGTCGTTGGCCGAACTCACGGTGGCAGCGGGTGCAGTTGACACGGAGCCCGCTAGCAGCAGCGATGGTCAGCCTGTCGACGATCCTTCCTGGAACTCCTTCCTCAACTTGCCCAAGGATCCAAACTACAAGTCCTACGTGGCTCGAAAGATGGAGGAGTATGCCTCGAAGAAGCAGAAGCTGCAGAGCCGCTTCGAGACGGAGCAGACTTGATGGCCGCCGGCTCAAGGATAATTCCAGGCTACTTGGCATGAGATGAGTGTTCGTTTTCGGTTATAGGGGAAACCCTGCGCAGACGACGAACGCCTTAACGGTGCCAGTGTGCTGCACTCGACGCAAGTTTCAGGTCACTTGACTTGGGGGTCATTGCCCGAACCGTGAGAGGACAGAGCACAGTAGGGCCATCTGACCGGCCATTGGGGTGACTTCTCCAGATCTCAAGTCAGGCCTCACACGACAGTGATGAAAAGGACCTGAGATGTAAGCAGCTCGTGGCTCCGGCGAGAAGTCGCCACGTGGAGTGGGTCGCAATTCTGATGTTTAAAAGAGTAGGCAACTGGGGGATGAGGCCCCGAAAGAAGAGGCATCAGCAGGCTAGGCGAAGGCCTTGAGTGGAGTGACAGCGTACAGGTCCTCCTCGAGGCACAGAGCCTCACACCAGGCACTTGTGTTCACAGGCCTTGGTGGAAAAGATGTGAGATGCACCGATGTACGGCGGCTTTGCCTGCCCTTCGTGGCTTGTTTGTGCCCTTCGCACGGCATGCGGTGCAACCAAGAGAACACAGGTTGTTTCGCCAAAGCTTCCCCTGAACTCCTCAAGTTCCAAAGTTCTCTAGAAGTTCTGTGCTTGGTGCCGAGCTGTGTGTGGGCTGGCCCCCTCAGCCGAGAGTGTTCGGAAAGGCGTTGTCCTGACCCCCGAATTGCGACAGCGCAGCCATGGCATCCGTGGCTGTCTTGAAGGTCACCTACCAGTCGGAGGTGCGTCGTTGCCTCCTTGCAAGCGTCCGGCCCAGCTTTGAAGAGATCACAGAGAACATTGCGAAGCTCTTCCCCGAAGCCAAAGAATGCACTGCCCGGCACCTTGGAAATCGATAGGATGTAGATAGTCTCGTCTGTTGGAAGCTTTTTGCTTCGACTAGTTGGGAGCGGAGAGAGAGGGCATGTCCCAAAAGACGGCCCAGGTACCTCGACGAGGATGGGGACGCGTGCACGCTTTGCGAGGCTTCGCTGTCAGACTTCCTGGCTCAGGCAGCCAACGGCGTGGACATGGCCAACAGCACCGGAAAGATGGTGCTCCGCCTGGAGCTCGTGAGCCTTCCCCAAGCACCCACGCTTCCGGAGGCCCTGCCGCCCAAGGAGGCGCCCGAGGCAAGCCCCAAAGATATGGCACAGGCTTTCGAGGTCGTCAACTTGCCTTCGGATGGACTGCATGCTAAGGGCACAGGCTGCAAGGGCAAGGGCAAGTCCGGCAAGGGCAAGGCGGGATGGAAAGGCCGCTGCCACAACGAGCGACAGCATGAGGAGAACGAGGATCGTATCGTCCTGCTTCCACGAAAGAACGCTGTTGTCCGAAGTTATCATGCTGGCTCCGGCCCTTGTCTTTAGCTTCGGTGGAGTCCTCAAGACCCTAATGTTTGAACTCCCAATGCACGCATGCGTGGCCTTTCGGGTCACTTGGACTCTGCAGGAGTGGCCTTGGTGGAACTGGTACTCCCGACAGCAATGGTTCCCCAGGGAAGCTACGCACTCGGTGGCGGCAGCACTGTCTCCACAGGCATGTCTGCATCACTGTTTTTAAGTTCTTTTGCAGATGTTGTCGTGGTAGCGGCATCAGAAGAAGAAGGGCACTTCTCGTCGCACTAGTAGTCGGTAGTAGTAGAGGAAGTAGTTGCAGCAGCACTACTAGCAGTAGCAGTAGCGGTAGCGGTGGCCTTTGCTGTAGACTGGTAGCCGTAGCGGTAGCAGAGTAGCAGAGTAACAGAGTAGCAGAGTACCAGAGTTGCAGAGCAGTAGCAGTAGCAGTAGCAGCAGCAAGTTGCAGCAGCGGTGGGGAGTGGTACTAGCGTAGTCGTGGTAGTAGTGGCAGCAGTGGTGGTAGTGGTAGTATTGTCGGGGTGATGGTGGTCGCTGTGGTAGTTGTAGTGGTAGTTGCTGTGGTCTTCGTCGTCCTCACAGTAGCGGCAGCAACAGTAGTAATAGTAGTAGTTTCGGTACTCGTCATAGCGGCATGGTTGCGGTCTTGATTGGCATGTGGTTACACGCTTGTGCGTGGATGGACGGACAGACGGACGGACGGACGGACAGACGTAGGGAGGGATGGATGGATGGGTGGATGGATGTACTCACTTGTTCACGTGTCTATGTGTGTGTATGTGTGCATGTACCTACGTAAGTAAGTAAGAAAGAAAGTAAGTAGATGTGCTCCTTGACTGTTGGGGCTACATTCTGTTTCGTCTTTGTTACCTTTGGCTCGGCTGCCTGCAGGTGCTCGCGAGCGCCTTTGTTTGTGAAATTCCGCGAATGGTCACGAAGGTGCGTGAGCAGGCGGGTCGATACGAAGACCGCGAAGCCCGAGGTTTGAAGCACAAGTATCTCTGCAGTTATCCTTTTGTTCCGGATTTGTGTCCTTGGCACTTGGACGACGATGGTGACAGCGCTGACGAAGATGACGGTAGTTTGATGCCGCCGCTGCTGCTGATGAGGACGATCTGTCAGAAACACATGTAGAGGATAAACTTCGACAGTACAGTGCACATGTACATACTGTATGTACATACATGTTGCATGTGTATGTGTATGTGTATGTGTATGTGTATGTGTATGTGTATGTGTATGTGTATGTGTATGTGTAGGTGTAGGTGTAGGTGTAGGTGTATGTGTATGTGTATGTGTATGTATGTATGTATATATATATATATATAACATACATGAAGCATAACATGAAAGTAGTGGGTTGCAGCAACTTGGGTGGCCTGTGGTGCGGTAGTAGCTATCTTGGAAGGTTGACTCATCATGATACCAACGATGGACAAATCAACACCCTTGTCCTCCTCCTCTTCCTCCTCCTTCCTCTACATCATCATCAGCAGCAGCATGAGCATGAGCATGAGCATGAGCATGAGCATCAGCATGAGCATGAGCATCAGCGTCAGCGTCAGCATCAGCATCACCAGCGCCAGCGCCAGCGCCAGCACCATCATCATCATCATCATCATCGTCATCGTCATCGTCATCATCATCCTCATCATCGTCGTCATCATCATCATCATCACCATCACCATCACCATCACCATCATCATCAGCGCATATCAGCGCTGCTCACCACCATCGGCATCCTTGTCCTCAGAGACATCGGCCTTCTGCGATAACTTACGTAGTGATAGCAGATTGTAAGCTTACGGGGGCTGTCTCGGTGTCACTCAATTCCCAAATTCAACATGCCTGAATTGCCTAGATCCGCCAAGTCCCAAAGCTCTCAAGGGCATGAACACAGAGCCCTCAACGCATCTCAACGCCACAACTTAAACCTGGAGCCCTCCGTCTGACACTTCAACACCGCCCCGGCCTCGAACTTGTAACCGAGGGTTTTCACGAGTTCTACTATCCTTGGTGCCCGTATTGGAGCTCTGCATGTGCACGCCGCGCGCGCGCGCACACACACACACACACCCTCTACAAAAGCCTGTGAGACCTACAAGGTCCTGTAAAGGAAGACTGAACCCAGAATTCTTAAACCCAACCAAGCCGGAACGCTTCAGGCCTCAGGGTGAAAGCGAAGGTCATAATTATACCATAAAGCTCCTCGGCCCCTGGAAGGTCCCAGAGGCCTTGGGCCAACCTCTGTGCCATGCTCTGTGCCTGGGCACAAACAGGCTTCTGGGGTTGAGGTTCGAGGCTTCGGCTTCGAGTACTTCTGCTCAGAGGCTTGAAAGTGTGCTCACTTCGAGCGTGTCCTGTCAGTTCCGGTAGGGCATAGGGCCTGTCTCAGTGATCTACCCTAAACCCAAGAGGCGAGAACATGCCGGTTTTGGCCGGAGGAGTGCAGTGTGAATTGTGTTCTTCTGGGCTGCCCGAGCCTGCATTGTTCATTCCACAAACTTGTAGCACCAGATGTCTTGCAAGTTCGTGACAAACTCTGCACTCCGACTCCCTGCACATCCTAAAGTTCAGGCCCGCCTTGTTTGCCTGGGGCCGCAGTTTCTTCTGTCTAGAGTTTTGGGGGTCTTTGGGTCTTCGCATTGGTGTGGTGCTCCGATCAAAGGTCCTGCAGGTTTTGGGCTTTAGGGTTCAGTTTCAGATATACAGCATCCCGACTTGCAAGGGCCAATGGTCGGGTTTTTCTGGATCCGCCTATGCCTCGCTGGCTTATCATAACTGGCTTATCATAAGAAGTAGAGAATGCTGACTTGTTACTCAGAGCTACTTCGTCCATCAGCTTCCAGCCGTTCTGGGCTCAGGGCTCACAGTGCTGGAATGTAATGCTTTTTAATTGTGGATGCCTCAGGGCTGCCGGACCAAAAAATCACAAGAGGGTTCGGTGCAGGGCCTCAACTCAAAGTCTCGGATGTTGCAGGAGTTCACACCCTGAAGCACCTGAACGTGATAGCCTACCTCGAGCCCTCGAGCAAATCTCAGGGGCTTCTTGCCGGCTTTATCGGAGGCCTTGCAGGAGCACCCTCTGCATGCTTCCCGTCGGGCTACATGCTCTTGTTTCTACGTCCGGTTGCTGCTAGTGCTGTTATGCTTGCACGTGTTTTTTCACGCGTTGGGGGACGGGAGGTGTGATCTGCAACTGCTTGATGGTAAGTTTCTGTTCTTTCATGCGGAAGAGCCTGGTTGATGTAACGTGTGATTCCTGGAAAATCCCCATACGGTGGCAGTCAGCCATCGCCCAAAGCCCTGTTCGAATGTTTCATTAGAGATCCTGGAAGCTCCCGAGCCTGACAGACAAGGGTTTCGGGCGCGTGCTACTTTACGGATAGGGGGATGGCAGGGGACTATACTTTAGGTTGGTATAGCAATGCCTCGCTCTGCGAGAGCACTGATTTTCGGAATACCTGCGCCTCCCAACCCTGGATTCATCAACCCCGGAGCCAAACACCCCGAATCCAACGCCCAAGCCGAAAATCGGCCGAAGTCGCACCGGAAGGAGCTTTGGTCACTCCTCGGCCGAAACAAGCTCCAGCGGCTTCGCTGCAGATCTTCGCGTTAGGTTTAGGCCTGGGAGCACTCCAAAAACATCCTCAGCCTCATTTCTGCGCTTCGAGTCAGTAACAGCAAATGCTGCTGTGGCTACGGTCGTGCTTGTGCTACTGCTACTGCTGCGGTGACTACTTTATCATTATGGCGACTGCGACGATCCGCAAAACAAATCGCAATTGCAGCAGCCACCAAAAACTACAACTACCACTGCCACTGCCATTACCACTACAACTACAGCTACGACCACCACTGCTGTTGTTGTCGTTGTTGTTGGTGG